GGTGACTCTGGGAACTATCAGCTGCTCTTTAAGCAATGGTCAAAAATGCTTCACCACCCTACAGCCTCATTTTAGAGTACAGAGTAACTCTAAATGGAATGTTACCTACCTCCCTGTTCTTCCTGTGAACCACATGTGTGGTGTGAAGAGGGGAGAGGGAAGCAGCAGGTCTGATGCACTAATGAGAGACACAATAATTTTCTGGTCCTACCACTTAGACAAGTTTTTCTGAGAGTACATTCCCAAAAATTTGATTCCTCAGAGATATACAGAAATTTAATGGAAAAGTTCCCATACATAATATAAATATGAGAAACACTGCAAACTAAATTCCTTTCTGAGGGAATATTATAAAGCCTCTGTGAAGCACTGTGATGAAGAAATGACCAGCTTGTTATAAATCTTTCCAAAAGAAATTGACCACAGAACCTATTTTTCACAACATCCACCTTAAGAGGAAATACAGCATGATGGATAAAAATGTAGTTTGAAGCCTGACAGCCTAGGCTTGAATCCCAACTCCACAACTTAGTGCTGTGAGGTCAAGGTATTAATCTCTGTATACCTCAATTTCCTTATCTGTAAAATGGGGCTTACAGTAGAAACCTATTTGGTAGGATTTGAGTTAATTAGGGTAATATGTCTGTCAAAGAGAAAACAGTGTGCCTGGGGGAGCTGTCTGTATTACAATTTTCAGAAGGAGTGTTCCAAGAAATGCATTTTGCTATTTGTGAGCTAAAGCTCCTGTTTTTGTTGTTGTTGTTGTCGTTTGTTTGTTTGTTTGTTTTTGGTTTGTTTTAAGAACTAGTGCCAAAGTTGAAAAAGAAAATACTTTTTGTTGCTGCAACAGGTTGCAAAAGACTTACACTGAGGATTTTAATGGGGTTATTCAGACAAGCCATGTTACCAATGAGACCAAAAGAGTATTATGTAAAATACAGGAAGAGCACTGGACTTAGAGCAAGGAGATTGAGATTCTACCTCTTGCTGCCACTAAACAACTGCTGGTATTGGACACATCACTTAACTTCTCTGCCTCTCATCTCTGACATATTACAATCAGTGGTGAACTGGATGAACAATTTCATTAATTCTTTCATGGAATCTTTGAGTTAGGGTAAATTAAAAAATCTATATGCTGTTTTCTAGATATTATAGAAACTTGTGTATATATGTGTGTAAAATATAAACTTTACCTGTTAGGTTGTAAGATACCTGTAACTAAGAATCATGTCCTCTTCACTTAAAAAAATGTAAATAGTGCCTGGTACAGCTGGAACAGAACATGTGCTCAATAAATGATAAATTAATACTTGTTCAATAGCAATCAAATGTTCATCCCTTCATTCAAAAAATCTCAAGACTGCAAAAATATAAAGTACTATGCTGGATGAATATACTTTACATATTTCAGGGAGGTTATTAGTTCTACCTATAAAGAGCCTGAAATTTAATCTGTGATATGAATATCAAATGATGATACTAATTATTGAGCTTTTTTTTTAAAAAAAACTATTACTGGAATTCTATAGTTCAGGTGAGTTTTGTTGTTATTTTACATAGCAGCATCATGCTAGTTGCATTATTATATAGAGCTATTCAGTAACTATGACAGAATAAATTATAAAATCAGTTCATTACAATTAAAATACGTATATTCCAATCAATTTGAAGTAAAATTTTAGATGTATAAGAATAGTTAGTGGATGAAAACTTTTAAACAAATAAGAGGGACATTTTGAAGGTCATTTTAAAATATGGTTTACTAATTTCCTTTCATTAGAAGAAATAACTTATTATTTTTCCTCCAAAATATAGTTGCATATAACCCTACCCAAACAAACAATAAAGAAACAAACAAGGGGCCAGCTGTGGAGTGCTTGCCTCACACATGCAAGGCTCTGGGTTCGATCCTCAGCACCATATAAAAATAAATAAACAAAATAAAGGTAATGTGTCCATCTACAACTAAAAAGATATTTTATAAAAAAGAAACAAAAATGACAGAAAGTGTTTATCTCCATCAATAATAGGCAGGAATAAACAAATATCTTCTATTCTGTTAACCAAATTCCAATTCTTAATATTCACTGACTAAAGCATGCCAGGGGTCATAGACTTTTCTCTTTAAACTTGAAATGTACCAAAACATCCAGGTTGATTGAAGGCAATCTATTTCATTCAGGCTGCTCTGAGACAGAGAATGTGAGTACAGTACTAATTTAATTTACTCTGTGTATTTAATACTTGTGAAAATGTGCAGAAACTTTTGTGGATAATTTAATAGGTATTTAAAATCTCAAATAATTATTCGTTTTCATTGTTTTCTTGATGATTGCCTCCTAATAGCTCCTCCTTCAATGACATCTCCTTGTTGATAATGCAGGAAACTTTTCAAGGATAGTGTAGAAGACAATGGTCTATATAAGGGGCATGCATGATGTTCCCAGACAGAGTATTAGCAAGGATGTCTTCTGTTTGAAGAGCAGAAAGTTTCATTTTAATGGGTCTAAGAAAATGAGAAAGTCCTCTTTTATTGTCCTATTGTACACTGTTCCTATTGCAAATTGAACTTCAGTTTGCAGGTGTCTGCCTGAAGGCAGGTCACTGAAAGTCAGTGAAAATCAGTCCAACCTCAGCAGCAGAAATTAATCTGCAAGATCATGGCAGGCAGACATATATTTTAAAGAGCATTCTTCCCACTGAAATAACCACACCGGACTTCACAAAATGAACAGAGATTCAAAACAACAAAAGCAACCAACAGCATCTATTCTAACACTGCAAATTTCTTAGATATTACAGATGTCACCCAACAGTGCATGCATTTGCTTCCCATATGTGAACAAAACTGAGGCATCACAAGATAAATTTGAATGGAATGTTAACCTTCACTTTAAATTTTTTTCTTTTCCTAGCTGACGACACAATTTTAGTATTATCACAACGGAGCTTCTGGCTGGAAAAAAATTAAATTAATGGATGGATTTAAAAAAAAGCATAGAAACTTAAAAAAAATAAACAACTTTCAAATATCTATACTTGATGGTGTCAAGAGCCAAGATGAATGTATTTCAATTGCAACTTCCAAACTAAACTCACAAATTACTACCATTATGCTAAGTGTTAGCTACCCCACTGTGCAGTTTTGCTTTGTGAATTTTTACCTTCCTCTATGAACACTTTTAGCCACTGATCGCACAGCCTTTCAATGTTTTCTGCCTTTTCCTTTAAATAAACTGGCTCTGGCTCCTTCCATCTGGTTCCCCTTCCGTCAGCAACCCTGCACCTGTTCACACCTCCTCTCCTGTTGGATTCCACTGAACATTTCCTCCTCTGCCAGGGCTATTCTGGCACTCGCAACCTTTCTGTCATTCAATCCATCTGTCAGAAGTGAACTTTGTTTACCGCAAGCTTCTGCTTTCTTCTTCAAGAAGTAAAGCCCCTCAAGGTCATTGTCAAATGAACTGTCGGCATGGATTTAAATCCTCTACTGCTAACCAGCAGAAGATGAAATTTTGTTGTGTAATGTACTTGTGAAAATTACTTTTGGGTTCGGGAAGACAATAATTTGGAGTCAAAGTAGTAAGACATGGTGTTTTAATGATCATTTGTAAAACCAGACAGCTGATATGTATTTTCTTCATGTGTGTCTGCACTTCTTATTATATTGAGCATGAACTATATGCATAAGCAGCAAAATAAAAGTTTTAAAGTGAAATCAAAATATCACAAACAAGTTTACACTATGTAAAAATTGCTTCATACTATACAGCATTAAGTTGAGGAATAAATATTTTCACTAATGAATTAGCCAAGGGAGAGAGTATTCCAATTAAGAAATTTTACACTGAAAGGCTTAAAATGTACAAATATGTACCATTTCAATTATAAGCTATAGATTAACACATAGCTCTATTACTGCTTTGAAAGACTCAAACCATAATATACAAATTAATTCATATGTATTTTAAATTCCAACATTTAAAAAATAAAGTTTTGCTTAAATAATGGCCAAATATATGCTGCCAAGCAAACATACAATCCATCTAAAGAAATATAAGTTGTACTAATAGATAAGTTCTATGAAAAAAATCAACATATAGAAATTAGGTGAAAATTTTATTCTCAATTGATTGTATTTTCTGTCATGTATAGCTTTCGAGTACTCATTTTTCCTTTCATAAATCAGAAGAAATCATTTATATTGAATTATTTACCATTATTTTAGAAAATTATAATCATTAGAAGGAAAAATCAATGATTTAATTAAAATTTCTTATAAAAAAGGGAAAGATTATTTTGTAGGAGAAAATATGTGTTAAAAATTTAACAAAATGTACTATCATAAATGTGAACATAAATGGGATTTCATTCATAAGGCTGCTTTTATATTTTGTAGAATGATCCTAAGATTTAATCTTATTGTATATGCTTATATTAAATAAAACTAATGGTCTTTAAATTAAATTTTTTTTTTACAAACAAAAATTAAAGCTTTTATGTTAACATAAAATTGAATCAGATTTTATTAATAAAATCAGTCTAGAAAACATAGAATTTAAAATTTGAACTTAAAGTTCAAATTGACTGATAGTTATAATTTGTTTAAAAATTCTATAAAGGCAATTTTTAGACATGTTAAAGAAAATTATTGTGAGCTAAATATAAAAACAAAAGGAAAAATGACAGCTTAAAATTTAAAGTGCAGAGACACTCTTTTTAGCTGTAATTTCTTTTTTTAAAAAACTGACCTTCAAAATACTGTATGTCATAAAAATCCTTCTTATGTAATGTATACTGTAATTTAATCTATGGATTTTGAACTTAAAATATGCATATTCTTTTCACCTTTCTAAACATAATTTCTAAGTAATTTGTCTTCATGTGGAGAAAATTCCAAAAAATGTCAGTTAATTTACCCAGCAAGTTTGCTACTACTTTTCTGATTTTTTTTTTTTTTCTATAATGTAATCTGTGCTTGATAGTAGTTTGGTTACCTGGATCCCTGCTTCACAATGTCATTCATTGAGAGTGTGCTGGTAATTTGATCACTTCCATGGTCTGATTTGCTATTATGAAAAGAAAGAAACATTAGCAAAATGCTAGTTTAACAGAGGTTGCTCAAATCACCACGAAGGAATTTTTCTTTCTTAGTAAACTACGTTTCCAAAACACACTGGTAGCCTTATTTTGGAAAATTGGTATGATAAGAATATAAACAAATGAAAAACACTCAATTTTAACATCATTTACAGTCACACACGGATGCATGAATGCTCATACACACACACACACATTTTACACACACACACACACACACACACACACACACACACACACGTTCCCTTCCATAAATACGTAAGAAAAAGAAAAGGGAAATAGCATCATGATTACTTTTACAGATAGAGTAATTCAGGAATTTACAGAATACAAATATTTACTTAATGCATAACATGCTTATTTTATCTTTTAAATAGAAAAAAAAAGTATAGTTTGACAAAAACACCTGAAACACAAATTTTACGGGGTGGGGAAGAGGCATTGAAGTAATGTTGCCAGGTTACCCCACAAAAGGGAAAGCCGTTTCTAAGGGCACTGCTAGGTGAAGACAAGAACTGATGTCGTTCATATTCTTTAATACCAGTTTTCCTAAAACAGCATATGGATGTAGGATGGAAGGTAAAACATTTAAACTCCTTAATAAAGAACTGACCTTAATTTTTCTACATTCTGAATGAGACTAGCAGGTTCGCTTTTCTATGAGCCACAAATGATGAAAGTACTATTACTTTTCTCTGGTTTATTGTTTTTGGTTTGCAGATAAATTCATGATGTCTTTTAACAAAAGAGGATATTCATTTTTCCACCCCCTTCCTCAGTTACCTTAAGACAAGACCTTCTTTCAGATGTGGAAATATTTTCAGGACTGCAGGACAAAGAACTGAGATATTTCACAGGGTTGAGCAAGGGGGAAATGGATTTGTGAGATTCTGTTAAGAGTAAGAAGAGACTAAATGACAACTTTAAATCTGCCACAATCATTTACTAATGTGCTGCTATATCAAATAAGTCTAATTTTTTGACAGCACCAAATTAGATTTATTGCAGAAACTGCTGCATAAATAGCATATGGCTATGTTATACCACCTATTTCAAATCCTGGTAATGTTTCCCCCTCCCCCTCCAAAATGAATAAATTGAGCCAAGCTATAAACCTTCTGCAGAAAAAGAGAAATACACAAGTTCGAAAACAGATGTAGGAGATCTGGATTTCTTTGTTAAAGTCACAGTTTTAGCTAGAATGTCCTACTCTATATGTAAAAAGCCATGACTTCTTAATAAGTAGTTAAATTTAACATGTCATTTTTTTCATTTCTTATGAAATGAGTTAATTTAATTTTTGTTTTAATTTTTTTTTGGCTCTAAATTGTGCTTGTATTTTGATGTTCCATCCACAGTTAACATGAGGATATAAAGGACAAGTAGCTCTGAAACAAACATAGCTGAAATTAGGTTATGAAGATAGATTATTAAGTAGAAATGCATGTATCATATGGTTGTTTTTAGCTTTCGTTTGTGGAGGACATATGTGGTAGAAATCATATCAAAAAGCCTTTTCTAATTTTAAATATAGTCTTCATCTGCAAACTCCTTGATGCATAAAATATATAAAGTGATCATTCCATGTGCCACACCACATATGAGAACAGCAAAGCCATACAAATAGTAAAAATCAGAGTTCGAAGCTGGGATTGAACTCACACAACAAATTCAGAGATGGACAATTGTTCCTTTTCGGATCTCTCCGCTAACACCCAACACCTCCTAACCCAAGTTTGACACAATTCAACTCAATTTTCCTTTTTGAACAAAAGTTTCAGTTCTTCTGTAGATGGGAAAGGCATTGCAAGGTCTTATCTCAGACCAATGGGCACACCACTGCAAACATCATGGCACTCGGCTACCCCGCAGACTCCCTCTCTGTGGTCAGTCTTCCCAGCTGCCCTATCTGTTACTGTCTGATTAGTTCTGCTAAGGAGCCCCTCCCCTGCCAGCTTTCGGTGCCATCTGTTCTACACAAGATGGCTGCTGCCCAGCAACCTCACACTGCCCTCCTACCTGGCACCCGGCTACCATCCTTACCCCAAAGTGCTAACACAGGTTCTCACTGCTGGCAGAGTCAGGATTTCATTACTACTACTTTGACAAGTGCAGGGTTGTTTGTAATTTCTCTTTTATCCTGATTTTGATTGTACAACCACCTCCCACTGATTCAGTTTGCTTCAGTTTTGTTGCTCACAGATTTTACTCTCCACATTAATCTCCCTCTGGCATGTTACTGCATCTGTTCCCTTTTTTATTATTAATTTTCAAATTCCCACCATTTTTGACAAAAAGGAGGTAATCTACACTCTGTTTCTGCCCATTTCATTTTCTTTAATTTGGAAGATAAGTATGAAAGCATGCCAAAGAAGTTAATTCTCCGTTAACAGTTTATTTTCTGGCATCCCTAAGCCTTTGTATATGAAAAACAGATAGGAATAAATGTTGACTGAATCACAACAACATAGTTGCAATGATTTCTGAATTTAATGAAAAGCAAACATATGAAACAGCATCTAAAAAGTTTATTAGTTACACGAGTTGTCTCATGCTGTCATTCTTCCTTCTACTTTTAACAGATAATTCTTTGTGCAAATTGGTCTGGGTGCAGTATCTGAATTTGGACTCCTCTACAATTCTGACATGGGCTCTCTTTTCACTAGATGAATTTTATTATTCCATAATATAATTATCATCTTTCCTCAGCCCAAACATTGTTGACTAATTCAATAGTGAATGATTCTGAATAAATGCCTGGTTTCAGAAATAGGTTAAGAATAGAGAATTGCTATCAGTGCAACAAAGCAGAACTTAAAGGGCCCCTAGGTTGCAAGAGCTGCTTCCATTAGATATTGTTTTGACAGAGTTAATATAAAGAATACCAAGATGGTTTTCCCTCTCAAGACAAAGACGATCACTTAAGATTTAGAAAATAGGAAAAAATATAGTTAACAATATACTCTGTCCCTAATTTGTCAAAAGCATAACCTTTCCAAAAAGGCTGGAATAATTTGATCATACCTTCATGTGACCTGAAGTTTTGTAGATTGATTAATGCACTGTGACCCTAATTAATTTATTTTATATGAATGCATACTATATTCATATTATTTACATGAATTCATATTAGAAACACTGGAGACCTTGACTAGATAAGCAACACCTCAGATTTATAGAACCTTAATGTGTTAAAATTATTTTACATACTTATTATATATCCTCAAAAACACAGTAAAATTTGTAGGACATAAAGTATGGTAGGAAATTTTCCCCAAGGTGACAGAAGATAATCAGAAACAGAACTAGGACAAGTGTCAAGATCAAGCAATGTCCAGCTTGATAAAACACACTTCAGATCAGTTACTAGAAAATGGGAAGGTGACAAAACCCACTTTAACGGCTCATCTTGGATACCCTCCCCTATACCCCTATGCATATTCTAATGGTAACTTGTTACTTTATTTTGCATACTTTTTTTGTTAGTAAAGCTATATATGTAATAATTCTTCTTCTAACTCTGAGTATATTCTTTTGCTAAATATTCTGGTCAGAAACAGGCTTCTTGAAGGTACACATAATAAAGGGGTCAGAAGGACACACTGCTTATTCACAACAACCTTCTCTGAAGAAGAAATCCTTCTGAGACCTGAGCAGACTTGTATGGCACTTCTCTCCATCCCTAGGCTTGGTCAAGGTAGGAGCTGATCAACTCTCTCCCAGGTGACCTTGTGCCTGCTTGGAAGAGGCCACATAGAGCCAAGGTAGAGCAGAGATGTCCTCTCAGTTAAATGTCGGCTTTTCGGGCTGTTAACAAACATTTACTAACCTATTTAATGCCCACTCTGATTTACTAGATTGACTATATCCCTGCTTATTTTAACTACAGAGTAGTAGTAATAAGAAAATCAAATTTACTTGAAATGGGCCTGGTTCCCATGAGACCTACCATCAGATGGGTTACTGAGGAGATGGAATATTCTCCAAGTCCCTTACTTTCTCAGCATCCTTAATGAACTTTGGTTTATCAAACAGTGATTCACTGTATGACATACTCAGGGGTATACGGAAACACTGAATAACAAACAAGGAATGCCTAATAACTGACCTGGTGATCCCATCCAATTAGGAGGCTGTGGTTAAGAAGAAATTAACCATCATTAAAATTGATGAGGTTTTTTTCCTATAATCCTTTTACCTTAAAGTAAGATTGGAGACCAGGACTTTGTTTTAGGAAAATACCAGGACTTAGGATTACTATGTAACAATTCTAGATTTTTGCCTTTTTTTTTTCCTTCTAGTTTCATTGAACTTTATGCTCATTGTTGTTGAGTCAGGAAGTGGTGTGGGCAATACTTTCTCAGTTTTCCTCTGGGCTTCTTCAGAAAATGAGTTGGCTGCCGTTGTCACCATGCTCCAGGCTGTGGGCCTGTGTGGCAGGGGAGAAGAGTGCATCCCCAGCGTAGATTTTCATTGCATACACATTTGGGCTTTGCAGAACTAAGAGGAATGAGCCAGGGAACGTTAAGCAGAACCTGCAGACACACATTTCCTGGCAGCCTCTGATTCTAACCTCTCCTGCCCCAGGCCTCACAGAGACTAGGGCGCCTAGCCTGTCAAACAGGTGGAGAAGAGCCGGCTCAGGCAGTGTGGTGTCCACCAGAGAAAAATGAAATGCTTTTTCTTTCCTGGCTGTCTGACAGTCTGTTTTCTCTGATACTGAGTGGGGGAAGGAAAAGAAGATGCAATTTATAACAGCACCAAGGCCATCTATTTTGAGCCTTGAAGATGTTGGTTGCACATATATCCATTTAAAATTATTTTTGACACGTTCTCTGCTTAATTTATTCATGAAAGGAGTACAAGAAAAAATAAGCTTAACTTTTAAATGGAAACTTTAGGCTAAAAATTCTTGAATAAAACTCAGGGGGAAAAAAAAGAAAGTTCACTGTGGAAGAGCAAGAATACA